TACAAAATTTGAATTCAAACAGCCACCATTTTGTTCACTTCAGCATTTGAATCGTGAATTTTGGTCTTGTTTCCGAACGAAAAATTCCAAAACTCAGGAGAAATGATCGAGATATTGGTTCGAATCTTTTGGACTGTTTATTTTGAATTTATAGTTGGTTATAATTTCAGAAAATAACGACATTTCGACGATTTCATTGTTGGAAAATATCGAGTTTCGATCCTGCAATTTAGAACAAAATCTCGAACATCTCTAGAAAGCAATTTATGTTACATCAAGGTGTGTGATCGGTACATCAAGGTGTGTGATCGGCACATCATGGTTTGTGGAGGGAAAAACGTTTGTGCGAGCCGCATAAGCATTTGTTCGATTTGTGTACCCTGTTCGATGTCATTTTTAAACAATGCATACACAAATACGCATGTACAAGTGTGATTTTACAAACATAAAGTGTGCAAACTCGAACAAACCGTGTATGGAATCACGCTGATTGTGTATGTATACTGCTAAACGCTATTCTATGTGTTAGAGATATCACATAAATATAAGATGTCCAATTTTGATACAGTTTTAACACCATAGTCTAAAGGTGGACTCTCAATGCCTGACTTAAAATCTAAATTCAGGGCCTTTAAAATTAAATGGATAATAGACATTGAGTATGGGAATAAACACGCAAGTTGGAATATTCTAGCAAGAGAGATATTAAGTAAAACTGGACTCCCAGATACTTTGATATTTAAATCTACCTATGGAAAACCAGAGAATATTTGTAATTTTAATATCTTGCCTCAATTTTACAAAGATTTATTCCATGCTTGGGGTATTCTCGGAGGCTCAGAATCCAAAATTGATAACATAACATTTGCAGAAATTAGACAAATGGTGATATGGCACAACAAAAACATAACTTTCAATAACAAATGTTTGTATTTTGAAAACTGGATAAATTCAAATATATTATATGTTAATGATCTTATGTGTACCCAAGATGAAATTCTTCATAAGCTTAAATCTAGGGTCAATTGGATGGCAGAATATATAACTGTTAAGCAATCTTTGCCATTTCAATATAGAGCTAAGATATTTAGTGAGGCAAGCAGATGTACATATGTTAATACAAATGTAAGTTTAAGGTTTTATGACAGTAAATTGAAGCATTATAGATTTTTGGATAAACATGCAAGTTCTAGAGACATATATTCAATCTTGTTGGAACATATAGCAACTAAAACATATTTGGAATCATTTTGGATTAACCTTTGTGAAATTCAAAATAGTCAAATGCTGTTTCAACAGACTTGGGTACTATTAAAGCAATCCCAAAATAAAAAAGTGGCCAATTTTAAATACAAACTTTTACATTATATTTTGCCATGTAAACAATTATTTCTAAGATGGAAAATAAGTGTTAATGACAAGTGTGATATTTGCGGACAAGTAGAAGACTATAAACATTTGTTCTTTCAATGTCATAGAGTACTTAATGTAATAGAAACTTGAAAATTATATTTTAGATCATTTTAAAATTGAATTAAGCTTGAAAAGTATAAAACCCTTGTCTTTGGCTATAAGGTACAAGACACTAACTATACTTATTTTAATGAATGGTTAAACAACTTATGGTACGTTATATTTGTAAACTATTGTAATAATGTTCAAGAATTGAAATTGTACCATTTTTCACAAATATTGTAATATTGTAAAATGACCTGATGTACTTGTATACAAAGTTATAAAATGAGAAATATATACATGATTTAAAAAAAAGTGTGTGATGTGTTCTAAAACAATATAGATGAAAGTATAAAGATGTTTTTCAAATTATATTGTTACCATTCAAAAGATAACCATTAATTGACGATGTGTAAAAATTTTAGATTTTTTTATGACTGGTTTAAGAGAAACGTATGTTCAAAAAGTTCTCCATATCGATACCACTACTTTAAGTCAAATTATACACAACACACTGTTCTTGTTCATATAGTGATAACTAAAATCAATATAATCGAAGGATAAAATGGGATACGTAAATGACCAACGTAGAAAAGCCTCATTTTTCGTGTTTTCCGTATCGCTTCACGTATAAATTGAACTGACTGACTACGCATAAATCTGGTAAATACGTTACAGCTACGGATCCGTTGAGCTAAAAATCGTTTTGCGAAACCTCTCTATTTACCAGATTTATGCGTAGTCAGTTCAATCAATACGGGTTTTGGACTTGTTTTGGAGAGTCGGTTGTCTTTTGATGGTTGTTAGTCTGGTGATTTAGTATCGGGTAGTACCCTATTGTCTTATGTTAATTTTATAATGGGGTGGGTTCTCTTGTGACTATGTTATGTTGGTTGGGTAGCTGATTGTAGCTAGTCGGGTGAGGTATCTGGTATGGTATTAGTTTGGTACCTACATGTATTTATATATAATGCAATCTCTTGTGTGAGATATTCAACTGGCATGATTAGCGTTAGCTTGACGTCGTTCTCTGATTCTGATGAGGGGGTTTCCTGTTGTCTAATGAATCCAAGAAAAACAAAGCTAATTTATCTTTTTACATAACATATTTTTGTAGATTGATTTCATACAAAACAGGGAGATGTACTTTTATTGCATAAATGATATATGTGTGTCACTTTCTATATGATCATTCAAATATGTTACTTTGCTTCCACCAAGTCGGTATTTTTTACTTATTTGATCTTAACGTATAATCTAAATATACAGCTGCAAAAACATGAAATTAAAGGTCCATGTGCAGTATGGCAAGTGATTTTAGACGGTCGTATCTTTCACCACGGGATGGAAATCAAGATAAGTAAGAGACCGACTTGGGCAAGGCTACGAATGCCTATATGGTTTCTTCCAACTATTAATTGGAATCACTCCATAATATACATTATGCATGCTTAAGATGGAATTCTACTTTTGAGTGAAATAAAAAATATACTATATGTGTAAATAGGTGTTGCAATAGAGGTCAAATATTTGGCTTGATGGATTTCACTCAAGCTTGATATGACATAATCACTTACCATTTGTTTAGACTGCGTGTGCTCCTTCGGAACTAATTATAGCATTGATAAGTATACTTATAAGGGCATACTTAAAAAGAAAATGAAGTCAAAAGGGATATGATGATGTTACGTAAAGCGTGCATGCTTTCATGTTAAGTCAAGACGCACTTGCTGCATTCTTAATATTCTCGGGAATTAGTAAACGCAAATGTACACACTAATTTCAAATATCAAATATCATTTCTACCGAAAACAGAAATGTTTACGCATCTTGTAGAATGAATTGGTTATTGTAAACCTAGAAATGATCTTTTCTGGCCTAATGGATATTCTTCATTTTGAAATTGATTTCATGAAATTAATAAATGATCCCTTTGGGATGAAAGGGTTAATATGTATTTTTGCATTCACCAATAATACTTATGGAGTTGTGATTCTGAAAGCTGACACACTGGACACTCTCAATGGTGTATGGAAATCTTAGTGCAGATGAATTCCTTTCAATTGACCCTAGTTTTCATATTAAACACGGATTGAGATGCGTTTATAATTACGTACTTCAAAAAACAAAAGACGAAATACGTTTCCGTAAACCGTAATGAGATACGTATGCGGATACGTTTTAGCTAACCCGTTGTGCGAAACCTTTCTAATGACGTTACGGCTACGGATTCGTTGAGCTAAAAATCGTTTTGCGAAACCTCTCTATTTTTAAGTGTATTTTTTTATTTTCACACTGAACATAATGTAATGTTACATGTACGTGCGTTTTCTCATCATAATCCAAAGTGACTAATAGCCAGAATGAAATTAACTATACGAGACATTACAGACCACGACGATGCGACCACCACGTGTACATCGTAGTGTACCCAACTGTGGAGAGTAACTGATTCGAGAGTGGTAGGTCTTTTTCGTAAACACGATATTTTGGATGTTATGTTAACATTTCACGAAGAAATAACTTGAAATGAGAGGATTTTTCCGCGAACTTATTGAATGACCTGGCATGGTATGTGTATTGCACAATTTTATCATCACCGAAACATGTGAGATAGTTGCAGTTACTGATGTCATCGTTTTTGATTTGTGCAATCAAAACGTAGGACATTCCATAGCTTTATGTTATTATTTAAATGTCCCATACCTCAGTGGTTTTGATAGAAAGTTATTTATTTTATACACAAAAGATCAAAATCGTAGAGATGGTTGACTACAAAAAATAGATTGAACAAAATAATACTTATTTTGTTGAACGTAACATAAATTCATCTCGGTGCCCATACATTTGTAAAGGTAGGCGATCAGATAGACACTGGCGTCGGAAGGGGGAGAGGACTGCTCCCCTTTTTTCCCAGATTTTTCAGATTTGAAAGCGAGCCTAGAAATGAAAGCTCTAGAGCCTGAGGCCATCGTAAAACTAATTCATCCTCCGATCACAGGGCTTCAAAATCCAGAATATATTCTTTCTGAAGAGGAGGTACGGATTCTGGATTCCTGCTTAGGAGGGTGGAGCTAGTTAAAGTCATAATGACAGAAACGATACTTATGTCAGTGTCTAGTCTACATCGTGCCTCCCCCTAGATCGAGGGGGCACGCTTCACGCATGACCGATCCCCAGGAACCATCCATACCCAAAAGTCGCCCCCCGCCCCCCGCCCCCCCCCCCTCTTGGCAAATCCTACTGATTATCCCCGGGTGATTATCATAGATGCAATAGGCTTACTTTTCATCGTGTTTTTCTGTATACATGATGAAGGATCGTTGATCTCCTTGTTTTTTATGTCTCTGGCTGTTGTACTCAAGTTTTCGAAATGATAATGTCTCAAAGCATATTTTAATTATACAGTCTTTTCAGTGAAAAATAGTCAACATTTTTGAAAGGAAGAGTATAGTTTTTACAAATTAGCACTTTGTATTTTCCTGATTTTAAAGTTTACCAGTAACATTGAGTATTCTGGACATTACATTGACATTGTTCAACGTTAACTATCAAAGGCGGAACGGTACACATTTACCCATGCCGTGCAATAGGATAATAGCAGTTCGGTGAAAAATAACTGATTAAAACAAGAGCAATACACAAATAGGTAAGTCGATTGCAGTTAAGTTTTGGATAAGGGTCGTGAACTTCATTTGCTTTGAAGCTGAGGTGGCAGCCCTGTTTACAGAAATTCAAAAATATTTCATGAATTTATGTGCCATGATACTTTACTATTTGCACATAGCTTACTCGAGTCTCTAACCAATACACGATACAGTGGCCTTACGAAGAAGTTAACACATAGCCATCTTTATATTGATGGCCCGGGTCACTTTTGCTCCGATTCTACGCCGATGACATTGTGTAAGACATAACAATTTACACTTCAGTGGACGTTTCGTTGAAAAATAGGAATGGGATAACTTTATATTATGATAAATAATCAAAATCTTACACGTTGCATCATGTAAATTAACACACCTTACCTTATCCCGTGCCAGGACTATAGTCCTGCAGTGAGAGCATTCTTTTGCCTGTACGATTACAACTTGGGAGAATTATCCACATGCTATCTATTGCAAGACTTACGCCTGCCACAACCGTCACCATGTTAATAAGTGTTTTTAAGTAGCGCAAGGATCCTGCCATGACCGTGGTAGTGTTATTGTGTAAGCCTGGTATAACCGTGACAGGCTGGTATAACCGTGACAATGCTGTATTATATTGCAAGGCCTGTCATGACCCTGAAAGTGTTATCGTGGAAGCCTGGCGCGACCGTAGCCTTTATTGTGGTTTATAAGCGAATGTGAATATTAATGAATAGTAGTAATTTTGATTTTGACATGATTAAGGTAGTTAAACACCATGATCATAGTATTAAACTGTTTAGTTGAAATGCGGATCACATAAAATTGTTAAGGATATTCCTGGCATTATGTCATACATATTTACTAGTCATTGCAATACATTATAACGGTCATAGTAGGACTAAGCCTAAATTTCTACATTACCACCCTCATACCTGGCCTTGCAATACTATATTACATTGTCACGGTCATACCAGGCTTTGCGATCCCATAATACATTGCCATAGTCATGCCAGGTTTTCAAAAACACATTGTCATGGTCACTTATAGCAAATCATAAATTTCTATATTACCACTCTCATACCCGAACTTGGAATATTATATCACATTGCCACGGCGGTCATACCAAGCCTTGCAATACTATATTACATTGTCACGGCCATGTCAGGCCTTGCAGTACTATATTACATTGCCACGGTCATGCCAGGCTTTGCAATACACATTGTCACGGTTATAGCAGTCCTAATCGTAAATTTCTACATTACCACTCTCATACCTGAACTTGCAATACTATATTACATTGTCACGGTCATGCCAGCGCCTTGCAGTACTATATTACATTGTCACGGTCATACCGAGCCTTGTAGAACTATATTACATTATCACGGTCATGGCAGGCATTGCAATATAATACAGCATCGTCGCGGTTATACCAGGCTTTCACGATAACATTACCACGGTCATGGCAGGATCCTTGCGCTACTTAAAAAACATTGAATAACATAGTGACGGTTACGCCAGGCGTTAGTCTTGCAACAGATACGGTCTCGAATTATCTACGCCCCTTACACTTAAGATACCTACTTCAATTGATTCCTGGGTATTTTAGCATTCTTTTCGTGTAGTTGAATCCACAATTGTCTGGGTATATCGGCAGAACGGGAACATTGTTCTTTTTCATCGAGAGATATTCCATCACTTTCCAAGATGGCGGTTGGATTTAAAAGGGGATTCCCCGTTTGACCGACCCGGATGTGGCCCAGAAGCACCAAAAATGGAGGAATTTGACGGTTGAAATAAGTTAAATATTACACGCAAATATTGTGATTAAAACGAAAATTTCTTTGTTCTGCCGATAAACCCAGAAAATTGTGGATTCAAGTACAAGAAAAGAATGCTAAAATACCCAGGAATCTATTGAAATAGGTATCTTAAGAGTAAGAAGCGTAGAAAATTCTCCCATGTTGTAATCGTACAGGCAAAACAATGCTCTCATTGCAGGACTATAGTCCTGGTACGGGATAAACCTTACCTCTCTGCTATTTACAGATTTAAATCATAATCAAAACAATATATGAACTATTGAAATTGAGTAAGATTGATTTGTCATGTTTTTCAAATCATCTTACTATTTACTTCCTGCGAAAGCTATTTGGATTTTGATATAATAGCTTTCCCACAGAGCATTTGGACAGCTCAATGATCGTGACCTTTGAAATCGAATTAAGTCGATCCGCGGCTTACTTTTGGTCTCTAACTGTGTCTTACATCAGTATCATCAATCCGTGTAAGTATTGGAGCGCTGGAGTACTTCTTTTTCGATCAAGACTTGTAATTGTTAGTCGAGTGAATCGTTTTACTGCCAAATTCCAATATGGCGGTTTCTGCTCGGACATTTTCGTAAATCTCCGGAGGTTGTCCGAACCTAACTAATTCTCAAAATTCATTTCGTTCGTTGCGTATCTCACACCTAGCAAACCGCCATATTGGAAATAGCAAGTTCCCAAGTTGACAGGCCTGAAATAGGTCTGTAAAACTTTAACTCGATGAACAATTTACAAGTCTTGATCGAAAAAGAAGTACTCCAGCGCTCCAGTACTTACACGGATTGATGATACTGATGTAAGACACAGTTAGAGACCAAAAGTAAGCCGCGGATCGACTTAATTCAATTTCAAAGGTCACTATTGATCAGCTGTTCACTTCTCCGTTTAGCCATAAGTTTCAAAATCTAACATGGCTCTCGAAGTGAGGAACTTACTATGTCATAGGCGTAGCCAGGAGGGGGTTTGATGGTGCAATCGCATCCCCCCATAACCAATGAAAATATGACCATGATGATAGAGGAAGAAAAGAGCCTTGAAATGGGTTTGTAGAAAAAAATGGGTACAGGGGTACCGGGTAGTAAATCCTCCATGGGGTGCAATCGCATCCCCCATAACCAATGAAAATATGATAATGATGATAGAGGAAGAAAAGAGCCTTAAAATGCTTTTTATTTGAAGCTTCTACCTCAATTTTGAAGGAAGTTACATACATTTTTGTAAATTCAAAACAAATCTTTCATGTTTTCTAATGATCTACAGTTGGGGACATAAATAAATGACAGGTGGATTTGCTGAAGTGAGGATTTCCCATGTTAAAAATAAGAGAATTTACAAGAGGCCATAAATCAGTGGATGAGATTATACAAAATGTAAAATATACAAATTTTAAGGGATATGTATCTAGACAATATTGGAAATTATGGGCTTTCAGACCACCATAATTAGGAAATGGTGATCGAAAATCGACCTGTCATTTATTTTTGTCCCCAACTGTAATTATGTTTTATATTTGTATTTTTTTTATTTTTTTTTGGGTACCCGGTTTTGGACCGGGTACCAGGTACCAAGTTTGAATCCAGCATGGAGGATTTACTACCCGGTTCCCGTTTTTTTCTACAAACCCAGACTATAGTCCTGTACTATCACAACATGGGAGAATTTTCATGTGAAAACAGATTTATAAACTATTTACAAATACATTTATTTTATTAATCGACTGTAAACCTTGAAACAGTAGTTTCTCGGTTTACAGTTTCGGTATACAATTTTGCTGGTTGACATCTGGAGAGGTCGACACTTGTATACTGTTTATCCAACTTCTGGCAATCATTGATCCCATTCAAAATGTAATATTCAGAATTTCAAGCACAAAAGGTTTGTGAAACAGCCAGAAAGGGTTTACATGTATATTGGACTAAGTACACTAACATACATAACAGACATAGAGTTTAATATGATAATAGAAAGGAAATCTATAAGGAGGAATTTTATCATTATGATGATATAAATATAGTTTTATTAACACTGGCAATAGAAATGCACCATATAGACTAAATATTAAAATCAGATGTTGCCAACTTAACTATTTAAAAACCCAAGTCAACATGGAATGTTTGAATGATGTTATTTGATGATGTATATGTAATTGTTTACTCAAGATAAAAGTGGTTGTGAAGTAGCTTCATCACGGAATGCAGATTAGTGCAAAGTTGAGCATTTATAGCTAAATCAATAAAACATACTGTTTGTACATGGCTTTTTAAGCTTTGAGAAGGTATTTTTATAACGGATAGGAACACCGGCTGATTCGTGTGCAGATTATGAACGCATTGCAATGTGCATGTAAAATTGGATTAAGTAAATGTATGGCCCTTCCCCTCTTAACAAAATTACCAGTGGACTACATAAATGGACTGAAATGACAAACACCAAAATTCTAAAGTTTGTTGACTAAACTTATCTTGCTGGGAAATATTCCATAAGGATACATGTGGATACAAGGTGAACTTTACATAGTTAAGAAAGGTTTGAATGTTTAACCTGAATACTATACAAGTAGAATATTTGCATTTACAGGTTCAAGGCAAAGAATGTGGAATTCACACAACTGGTATTAAAGCTGAATTAAAGTTTTCAAGACTGACAGCTTAAGGATAAATTCCACTAGTAAATTTTAGGTCAGAGGTTAAATACAAAGGTAAGTTGCTTTATTATTATGTCAGAAACACAAAGAATTGGGTTTCATAATTAAAATCAAAATGACTGAAATTAAGAAAATAAGAAAATACACAGACCAGTAATGCATTCAAATATTTCGAATATGCAGTGTTATTCCCTATTCAAATTCAAGAAAAAATTAATCTAATAGAAAATAAAAGATTGAATATGATAGCATTCCTGAATGTTTTAATGTTTTTATATTGGATTGTACCAACCATTGCTATCAAATATGCTACATGAAACCTTTTAAGCTTTGGTATTTAATTAAATAATGAATATTTCAATGTTAAAATTAATTTCATGATATGTGAGTGAAAATGACATGATGGTCTCATAGAGTAACAGTGGACCCTCAGGCCCATAGCCAGGATTTGCCAGGGGGGGGGGGGCAGGGGTGCTCACTTTTTAAAAAATTCCAGGAGGGTCACTTTTGACAACTTTGGCCCAAAAATGCCCCAAATCACTTGAAATGTGCTCAAAATGGAGAAAAACTGCATGATTCTGAAAGTATACCATTACATATCATGGTAATCAAAGAATTCAATTTCTTAACTTAAATTATGATGATGTTTATAGCTTTAGTTGTAGGATCATATATGTAAATTTTAAACTCATAATAATAAATTAGCACTTGTAATGAACATTTCTGTGGTCTCTTTTCATTTTGACATTGAAGCTAATAAACAATTAACTCCTTTGCCAAACTGACAGTACAAATTGTTTTGGTATATAATTGATCCCCTGAGGTGTTTACCAAAGCCAACATTATCTAATAACTATTATAGACTATACTAAAGGTATATATATATTAGTATGACCTTTATCGTCCCGACAATACACATAAACATGGTTTTAAGGTTGGGAGAATTTGGTTTAATCAACGAACCAATGAAAATTTGTTCCACTTGAAGTGATGCATTGCGGGAGATATTTACGATGTTAATGACTGTTTTTGTCTATCGCGTATTAGTCTATTGTCTTTTGTGCCACACTGGTTTTTGATAGCTTGCAATAGAAAAATAATGCACTCCTCTTTGCTACAGCTGGATATTCTTTAAAATAAAATACAGCTCATTCTATTGTGTTGCTACCTAAGGGGGTGTAACTGACTAATGTATAGATATTTGATAATGTGATTAATTGGTATGACTCGGGAGAGTTACTCCATTTCCGTTTATACTTCACTTACTGATAGACCACATGTCATTATTGAAAAATCGCTTAACAATATATTATGTAGAAGGTGTTTGAATGGTTTTGAAATAGAGTATCAGAATGTGGATTTATGCAAGAGTCTACATGTATTACTAGAGAGAGAGATTACACGTCCAAATGCAAAGCGTGAACGCGTAAGTTCATGTTTAAGAAAAGTATCTGTTAAGCTACACGTCTGAAACCATGTCAGTAGACGTGGAGCTATAATGCCCTGTTAAGAAACCCTATTCTTACTATTGAATATGGATTCTAGCAATACTATCCCACATGAATGTACTTGTTGAGATTCGATTAACGTGAGTTCTTCTGAGAAATGAAGATTTCATCAAGGGTGCATTGACTTAACATAATATGATGACATACATAATGTTAAGTCATTGGTCAATGGTATATGTCCCCATGTAAGTCAATGCCGTTCAGCTATTTCCACCCAGCGAAAAAAAGCTTAACATGGTCAGCCATGGTTCATCTATTACCTCCCAGTGAAAAAAGCTTAACATGGTCAGCCATGGTTCATCTATTACCTCCCAGTGAAAAAAGCTTTTGAACAACACAGGATATGGGAGGAATTATAAGCCTTTGTTTAACAATTTTTCTGATTCAATTATATACCATACAGTATTTGACACAAAGTATGACACACTAAAACTGACTGAAATCAATTGTATTTGAAATAATTCTGTCCTTTTAGGGTCAAGGGAATGATGGCTCTATGCACGAATTGAAAATGACAAAAAATATGACTTTTGGAACAAAGGATTTGAAAGATCTATCCATGACCTTGTTGGTGGCAAATGTCCATTTTATTCATGTTAAAAAATCTGAGATACAAAGCAATAATAGCTCTAGAGGCAAAAAATACTCGTACATAAAAAAATGTATTAACATACTTGTACCTTTTCATAACCTTGAACACTAAATATAATATCAAACAAAATAACACTGTTGAAATGCTTTTATGTGAAGATCTATGACTGTTAGGTTAAACCTTATAAATCAAGCTAAACAGGTTTTATGGACATGAGTTCATAAAAATATAAAATGTCCATTTATTTAATGTCCATTTATTTGTTTTATTTAAATTCATGTTAATACATGCCTATTAAGAATTAGTTTTGGTCGTCATTTTGATGCCAAGTAAGGAAAAATAGGGAAAGAGAGAACACCTACTTTTTGGAAAAAATAAAAAGATATATTCAACCTCCATTATTCTAATTACACTACAGTATTGACATGAAAATGATCTAAGATTTTGAATAAAATAATGTTCATTGCCACTTAAATGTCTAATTATGTTATTAACTCTCTTGTATCTGCTGCACTCCATTCAAAAGAACATTTTAGGTTTTAAGTCCAAATGGATTTTCAAAATGTACCACAACATTATAATTTTAGGTATAATGCCATAATGGATATTTGAACAGTTTAACATTACAGTCAGATTACTACTTCTATGATCTTGTTAGTTGAATCATGCTTTGGGTGTGGAATTTTAATCTGTGTTTACAAAAGAATTCCATTTAGTCATAATTTCCTTATATGGTCATATGCTTAAGTCAAACATTAGTGAACTGCTAGAATTATCATTCTTTTACTGAAGGCAACTACATGGCTTATAAGGGAATTATATTACAGTAGCAAAGAAATTCTAGAAAGATTTGGATGGATATAGCATACATTATCAAAGAATATACTTTTAGCAGGTCTTATCAAAAATGAGGTGTGGCATTTTTTGGTAAATATTTGAGATCTCAATATTTCAAGTATACTGTACATATTTAAAAAGAAAATGCAAACAATATGTTATAGAAAGAAAAATCCATTAGGGTAGTTTATATAGTGTAATATTATCTTCTTATCACTTACATTAACAAAATCACATACCTGGTAAGTTGATAAAGTGGTCCATATGTACTTTACTCATTTCATATTCGATACATTTTCAAAATTAGTTGAAAATTGAAATAGTAGCTAGTATACATTTACTGTATAATTGATACAATTCCAAATTGTTATATCTCATGTATACATATTTTCATGACGTGTAATGTTAGTGTAATGTTACATGACATATTATCATGTAGTGCCCCGAATCCTACATAGAGAATATCGGAATCAATTTCAGATTTATTTATTTATTCATTCAGAGCCTCTAATACTGAAGAATAGTTTGACAATTAAAACAATCTTTCATCTATACCTTATGCTAAGCAATTACAATATCATGAATCATGTCTAGTTCTGTTTAATTGAGCAAAATTTAAACCCAAATTAACAATGGATACATTGGAAAATCAGCCAATGGTACCTAACAGAGACATTCCTTCACAAAATAATCAAGACATTATCCCAACTTTTCATTGGGAACTTTGTTCCCAAGGAAGAGAATTCAAGTTCTCTCTCCCTACTAAGTGTTGAAGGCAAGATCTTCTGGGCTGTAATAGCCAAACGATTCACCAACTTTTTCATAAAGAACAAGTATGTCGACACCTCTGTTCAGAAGGGTGGAATTACAGGCTTTTCCGGCTGCACTGAGCATACAGCAGCTATTACCAAGCTGATTGGGGAAGCCAAGAAGGAGAAGAAAGATCTCTCTGTTGTATGGTTGGATCTAGCCAAGGCCTATCCTAGTGTGCCCCATCAGCTGATTTATACCACTCTTGACATGCCCGTAGCCAGGATTTGCCAGGGGGGTTCACTTTTTGAAAAATTCCAGGGGGGGTTCACTTTTGACAATTTTGGTCCAAAAATGGCCAAAATCACTTAAAAAGTGGTCAGAATGATGAGAAACTGCATGATTTTGAAAGAATCTTTGGCCAGGGGGGGGGGGGTTTGCTCAAACCCATCGAACCCCCCCCCCCCTGGCTACAGGCCTGCTTGAACATCATCATATACCACCTGAAGTAACAGCACTTGTTAAATTACACCTTGGAGGACTACATATGCGTTTTTCTGCAGGTGACATCACGTCAGACTGGCAACGCCTTTGGGAAGGGCATCATGGCTGGTTGTTCTGTGTCAGTGATCTTGTTTGTTGCAGCCATAAACATCTGGAAGAACACGCCATCCACCTTGCAGAGGTTTAATGGACGACATAACAGCCATGTCATGCCAAGAAATTGGGATGAGATGGGTTCTTTCTCGTTTGGAAGAACTTGCTACTTGGGGTAGATTAACATATATTCAAGCTCAAGAAATCTAGAAGCCTTATCTTGAAGAAAGGTAAAATAGTAGACAGCAAGTTTACAATGCAGGGAGAGACCATTCCTACTATCAACGAGAATCCTATCAAATGCCTTGGGAAATGGTTCGACCACAACCTTAATGACAAGACACACACATCAGATACATTATGTCAACTTACAACCTGGAAGAAAACTGTAGATAAGACTTCAGTACCTGGAAAGCTTAAGATCTGCAGGTGCTTCAAGTATGGAGTGATTCCTAGGTTGAATTGGCCATTCACAATGTATGACTTCTCCATGACAGCAGTTGAAGCTTTAGAAAGGATCACCAGCAAATTTCTTCGGAAATGGTAAGGAGTCCCTCAGTCATTTAGTGCAGTCAACCTTTATAGCACTTCATCTCCAGCTGACAAAAGTACAAACAGCAATTCTTCTTAGAGATTCCAAAGATCCAACAGCTAGATCAACTGAGGCGACAACAGCAAGAACGAGAATGGTCTGCCCAGACAGCTATTACCAATGCAGAAGGCACGCTCAGGCAGAGCGATATTGTAGGAACAGTTGCAGAAGGATGAAGAGGACTTGGGAGTTATGGGAGAGTCCCATGGTCAAAAGCAGTCACGGGAAAAGGAAGATGGTCACTGAGGAGGAGGAGGCAAGATTAGTCAAAGTCACAGGAATGGCCAAGCAGGGGACATGGCTCAACTGGGAGGCAGTAGAGGGCATCATGTCATATGAGGATATCATCATAGGATGCAGAGGATTAGCTGGAAAGTCAGTGACTTGGATGCTGAAATCTCTTGGAATGCTATCTACCAAGAGGAAAAGAGCAAGTACAGAAATCGGAGCAGTAACAGAGAGATGCTCCAGATGGATATGGTTGCGAAGCAGTGCTGCATGGGTTGCCTCATTGATTTGTCATCTTCAGGCCGTCCAACTGTCCCGCAATTTGCATAATTGTCATGCATTTGCTGGAAAATTTGAAGTCACGCCAGTTTTTTTGTGTGACAATAGCATTTTACCTGATTATTGTCCAGCAAAAATATTCCTGTAGAAAAACTTCCAAAAAATGATCGCCGATACAGCACAAAACCGACCGAAGAAAAAAACGAATACATTTCGTTCAGACTCTACACGCGGTTACCGTATGTCACACATTTTCCCTGAAATATTTCATACCACACATTTTCCCTGAAATATTTCATACCTACCCCCCCCCCCTTAATTTGAACTGAGGTGCTCAAAATGTGGCCAAGGTGTTCAGATTTGGACCAAGGTGTCCAAAATTTGAACAAAGGTGTTCAACATTTGTAAGTCACTCATGTTAGGTGTTCCCAAGTTGACAGGCCTGCATCTTGTTTCTACCACGTAGCTTGTTCTCTGTGCATGCATTGTGTCTCATTATGGTCTCCATAATGGGCGTGAGTTAACAGTAAAAGACGCTTACAGATCCACCCTGTCTTGCACAGTGCATGCATTTAGACTCGAGAAGCTACAGAGTGAGTAAGGAACAAAATGGGGTAGCAGGGCATGAGTGATAATTGAACATATAAGCATGCAAGATAGAGACTGTTCTTTTCAATAGGTTGGTTTTGCTTAAAAGAGAGCTTCCAGATTTTGATTACATGTCAAACCAATTAAATGATGGCAGTTCTGGTTCATTTAATGAATATTTAATGACAATCTTTTATATGAGGTTCAAGGTGAACCCAAAATCCCTAAGAAATATGAATAAACTCAGTCATTCAGCATGACCTTGAACCCATGCTGAAAGACTAAGTTGTTATTAACATTTGTTTGGGTTACCATTTTTGGCTCACCTTGTATAATACTACTGCTGCAATTGAAAAGGTTATTTATATTTTTCAATTATAAGTAAATTACTTCCCAACTCTTTACTATTATGAAATAAAACACAGGAAATCAACCTATTGTAATGTTGTTCTTTGTTACCCTAATAGGTCTTTACAAAATATCATAAAACAAAACCGGTGTTTCAATTTAAATTGTTCAAATGCTTTTAACTAGAATGTTTTATTTTTTCAAGTTGTATTGAGGTGTCAAATGCAAAAGAAAATACTTTCACTCTAAAAGTCTTTTATATTATTTCAATCGCATTTTGTTTGCTTTTTACTAGCATTCTTCCGCGTATCCATGTGTCACTGGTTCAAGGGCAATTGACAGTTTAAAGAGAGAATCAGATCTAGCAAGCAGCCTCACAAAAAATGTTTCAATTTTAGAATATTTCTGGCTAATGTCATTCCTTTTCATGTCTATTTTCTAAAAATCCCAAAAGTGCACACTTTATTTCAGGAAAACTAAAGATTTTTACAATAATGTATTATTTTTCTATAAGAATGGTTACCATTCTTATTAACTTCACCATTTTATAACATATCATGAATCTTTTGGGAGATATTGTATTTGAGATTGTACTGAATAGATTTGTAGGTCAATTGTACATTTTGCTTGTAATTTGTCACCCCATAGATCTGATTCTGCCTTTAATGAAGAAAACATGAAACATTCATTCAAATGCATTAAATTATAGTGTAAAATAGCATAAAATTCTCAAAATTACAATAAAACTCTTAGACATTTGAATTACAATCAATTGAATTACATCTGCTTATTCGACATAACAAAATATTCCCTGGATACTATTGCTGCATCTTACTTGTGTAAAGTGTTATTTATAAATCTCATTACAATTAAATGTTTCTTTCCAGGTCTAAAAATGACGTGGTATTCACAAATCTGATTTCAAGATGGAAGATGTAACTGCTATAATCATTGGGTGCTCTGTTGGTGGCACAGTGCTTGTCATAATTGTAGTTGTTGCCCTTGTCATCATTTGCATCAGGTAAGTTGTCACATGATGCTTTACAATGAATTCACACATACTCTCCATCAGAGGGTGGGACATTGCATTATTTGTATAAAATTCAAGTTTTAGGAAACTTGTTTTATTTCTATTTATTTATTTATAGTTGTGTAATTGTGTTATTGATTTTGACCTCTGTTCACTGGACTTTTCTACTTTCTGTCTACTTGGGCAGAATGCCAGTACAAGTGCACTCACATGCTTTGTACAACATTCTGTCCAACTGTGCTGAATTTTACCAAACTGAATGACCTGTCATTTTTTATTCCTCAAATAACACTCAAATTAGAATACATTTGTTTAACTAATCTATTTAAAAATTATATTTTTTGTTGTGGATGAACATACTGAAGTACATGTATATTTATAAAATAATACCAACAGGATTGGGGAAAAAGGCATTGGTATATAATGGAGGTAAAAAAGTTATTAAACATTGGAGTTGTCCTCTGTGCAGAATTGAGGTGTGTAGATTAAATAACACAATCGCATGCTAATGTGTAATCAGGACAGGTATAGTTTAAAAGTGACAATTAAGTACTCTAATTTCTAATTTTTAATTTTCTATTTTTAATGTACACATTAGTATACAGGGGCGGATCTGGGAACCAACAAGGGGGGGAAATATTTTAGGCCCCTAAAACCAAAAATACGTGGGCCCAAATTTTGTAAATCTTCAGGCCCATTTTCTTGATAATTTGGCCTTAAATTTAAAAATAAGGCCTTTAAAGGCCCAGTAATGCACAAGAAGGCCCACTTATTGGGCTCCTAAAAATATCTGGGTCTAAAAACATTTTAGGGTCCAATTTCTTTCTTGGCCCATCGAGGGGGGCAGATCTGCCATAGCAATAGGCAAACTTAATGGAAAGCTGACTATACTGTTCATACTAATATTAGGGTCCAATTTCTTTCTTGGCCCATCGAGGGGGGCAGATCTGCCATAGCAATAGGCAAACTTAATGGAAAGCTGACTATACTGTACATACTAATATTCAACAAACCTACAGTACAGTGTAAATGTAGTTCATCTCAGCTTAGAGCATGCAAAAATTCATGAATTAGAGCTACAAAAAATGAACACAATGTGTGCACATTCTTGAAATATTTTCTTTTTTATACCAATAGAAATAATGAATGTTAATCAGTTCCTGTTTTGTTGCCATTTGGAGAACATTTTTTGATGAATTATTTTTATAACTTTTATTGACATATAGTATCATAACATGATTACATTAGTCAGAACTATGGTAAACTACATGTCTAAACTACAAAATACTAGACTAAAAATTCAAAAAGTATATAAAAATATATAAGGTCACAATAAATTCTTAAATGAATGGTAAATGAATTTGCTATCTATCTTTGCAAGGTTACACTAGAAATAAGATTGACAAATAAATTTTCACTTTGTAAATCCAAGTTTCAAATTTCACGGGCTTTTGTATATAATATTTGCCTATTCTCATCATTTTTTTGTGCAAGTTAAAAAGAAATGACATTCATGTCATTCATCCTCTACATCTTTACTAATATTGCATAATCTTTCCTCTTTAGGTTTTGGTTTTGGCTTTGTTTGTCTTCCAGTCTCAATTGCTAACTAATGAGAACTCATTTTAAAGCTACTTGTCGCCAATCTATACTTTTCAAATCTATAGTTTCAAATACACTTCTTGACCGAAATCCCTTTTCAATAATTTGTACGTTCTCAATATAGGATAAGTGTTCAAATCATTTTTCCATTTTTCTACAAATAATATTTTTATTTTATTTTCAACCATGTTCACCAGATTTTGATTATTCCAATAATGGAATAAATCACATTTTCTATATCACAAACCTTGCTTGACCAACTTTTAAACTTTTAAACTCTTGATTACCTCTATCATATAAGTATGCTTGATTTAATACATTACTCTCTGGAAAATTTAGAAATCTAAGCCAGTATTTTATAATATATGTAAAGATTCAATTTTGATTGATAATGGGTATCTACCTAGGTCACCATATACAGCAGGGCTTGCAGTTTGTGATTAAACGCCTAATGTTGACTTTAAAAAAGACAAATGTATTGACTCAATTGCTTTCATTTGCTTTTTATCATACCAACGCATTAAACAGATGAAGAGCCACATCCGGTGGAACATCATTAAACTTGTTATGTTGTTACTTTATCTTAAAAAGTGCCTTTTTTGATTGTTCTTTAAGGTACTTAGTGTTCGGATCAAAACTGTTGGAAACTGGTGTGAGAATGAGACCTAAATATTTGTATTCTGTAGTTTGGTCATTAATTAAGAGTTGAATGATGAATAGTTAAACTCATGATACATGTACCGGTTTGTGCGGCTGTTCATGTATATGATATATAGGAGGGCTATTTGTGGTCAAGTGTCATGTTTTAAAAAATTTAGGCACACACCTTTTGATTGATAATATGCCAAAAACTTTATTTTATATTGTATTGAAAATATTGACATAGTTGTGGCTGCACACAAAATGGCATGTAAACAATTTTTATGAATACTCCAGGTCAGCTCATTTTAAATGAAAAAATATTTGTGTTATTCTTAAACCATAGATTTTCTATAGTTTAGAAGGCACTCCTTCAGGAGAAAATAGGATCCCATAGTAATTAATAACTGAATGAATAACCTTAAGAAACATGTTATGTATGACTATGATATCATATTAATATTTTCATAACTATGCCAAAGAAAATTTGCCAGATCAGTAGCCTTATATAGAACTGGTGCCTCACTAAAACAACCATCTATATTATTCTTAATAGAATATATTTTATCACTTAACATCATAAATATAACATTTGGTTTGCTCAATTTTGTTTTAAATCATTTTGAAACCCACCCATAAATTTACATTGTAGGGGTTTATCAGAGTCAACCCTATGGGAAAATTCTTTCATTAGTAGCATATTTCTCTTTTGAATCATCTTAACCATTCAGGCCACAGAAAACTAGCTACCTCTCTCTCTTTGATACACATTTGTAAACTCATTGGCTGCAAATCTGTGAGAAAAATTACCTTTATGTCAAAAAACTACATGAACACATTTTGAATTGCAAGATCTTGAATGTGATTAATTTTGCCATTGTTTGGGATCACATTCTCGCTTATAATTTCAAATGAAACCCAAGATGTGGGGATCAACTTGTGTAACATATAACTCATAAACTGTCTGGATTTGAACATTATGCCTCGGTGTCTCCTACCATTGAGAGATTGTCTATGCTTGTAAACAATAAAAGTTAAGTTTGCTGCAATATAAACAAACATTAACTTTAAAAATATAAACGTTCAACGAAATAATTTCATCTTCAAAGGGTTTGATCTAGTGATAATATTAAATTCAACAAATGACAATTGAAAATTATTATTTACAAAACTAATAAATGTTTACAAATTTTTAGTTTCTACCCCTGCACTATAACTACTTTGCTATAGCTAATAGCCCATTAAGTAACAATGTGACTGACAGAGGATTGTTGGGACATAATAATTGAGTGTTATAAACAATAATCACTGGTACTCACCTAGTTACGCTGATGATACGTCAGCGTAACAAGATGGAAGAACTTCTGGGCTTCGTTTTCGGTAAGATATTAATATTTCTCGATTCTACATCACTTATAAGTTAAGTTGTGGACTATACTTTGCCTCAAAGTTAAAGGAAGATAGTGTAGTTTGAGAATATGCAGGCGGTTCTATGTTTGGTATATTAACAAAGAGGCATTTCACATATTCAGTCCCTCGCTTTTGTTTCATTGACGATCTTCATGAATATTGTCATGTTGGCAACTCTCCATTGGTAGTGCAGTTCTTTTGAAGACATTATTTTGTTTACTCTTTTGGTATAATTAAAAACATTGATCAATCTTTGTATATTTTATAGTGGCTGAGGTGATGTTTAAGTACTTCTGTGTCCATTGCACTTTTTTTACAATGCAGATTTTCTTAAAGAAATCTAGGTGAAAGATATACATTTTTACTTATTTTTTTTCAATTAAAGAAAATTGCACAGAAACCATTTTATCTCAAAGAATTTTGATTATTCTTTGTGAATACAAAAGTATTTATGATAATATTTATGAAAACTCACCGTCCAGTTCTTAAAAATAAAATATGATAAATTTTATGATTCAGTGGGAAACTAATTATTCCATTGTACAGTCCGTACCAAAAAAAACGCAACAGATTGTTATCTCGGAAAAGCACAAAACCAGTGATAACAACATTGATTTCATTCAATGTACCATAAAGCCATGTGTCTCCTCTTTCCAATGGATTATCATTCGTTGATATTGGGTCATGGTTGGGCGAGTAATCATTCCTTTTGCAAAGTGGGCCAAAATTAGCTTGGGACCAATTTATAAACATCGCGAAAGTCAGTGTACGGGGCCCAATGCAATATTGGAAGAAAACATAAACCCAATGATGACTACATCAATTTCATTCAATGTACCAAAAAGCCAAATTACTCCTCTTTGCAATGGAATGTCATTCATTCACAGGGAGTCATGGCTGGCCGGATAATCATTAAAATTGCAAAAGTCAGTGCATGGGGCATATTCGGAAGAAGGTGTGGCAGGTGTGACATAGATAGTAAAGTGTTCATACTCATACTCATACAAGAACACATCCTATACCCCTCCAAATTGCCACCACTTCTTTGCACATAAAGATGCGCTCATCTCTCCATGTCATGCATGGTTCAGCCCTGAGTCAAATGTGGGTTAAAGCAGAGAAAAGCAGCCCATTGGCAATTCTTTCTCCAAATTTTGCGATATCTGGCAAAGGAATGGTGAGCACAGATACTCCTGAGATAGCTCTAAAAGAAAAGGTCACAACAATTCAAGTCAGGAGTACTTCCATTGGCACTATAGCCCTTGCACTGATTTTTGCAATATCTAAAACTTGGTGCAGAGCCGATTTGACCCACTGTGCAAATAGAAGGATTTCTCACC